CCGGGCTTAAAATGACAGTGATCATTTCCCAATCATTTTTACTTCCCTCCTTTCGCCACCCCCCCTTTGCAACCCCCCGCTGGGAAATTTTAAACGGGCCCAAAAAAGGGAAACCCTTTTCTACACCTGACTGTTTTTAAAGAGGGTTTCCCTTTTTCGTTTTCCCCATCGATGACTTTTTCAAACCCCTTCCGTCCTCCGTTTTTCACCGCCCGCTTCTCATTCTATACCCCAAACTTCGGGGAGGGATTCCCGAAATGCGGCCTTGGTGGGCCCTGCTTGTGCTCGGCAGTACGTTTGGGAAAGCCGGGATGGGGCAGGTTTCCGGGACAATAGGGAACCCCAGAAACGACTCCTTGAAATTTTAAAAAGAAGCGTGCGATTGGGTCGCCTGGGCTTTCCCTGAAAGCTAAACGCACTTTTCTGGCGAGATTATGTTTTCCCCCATCACCTCTGCTTCCCTATGAGTGCAGTCTGGAAAAAAAAATACGAAAAAGATGGTAAATATTTCCCCGACCCCTTTCCTTTTTCTGCGGGTTGCCGGGGGTTGATATAGCAAACCCACTAGATGTTTTTCCCAAAGAAATTGGGAATTTATCTGGGCCGTATTTCTCCCGGGCTCCATCTTTTGCCCCTCAATTTTTTTCCCCAAATCTTGCCAGAGAGTTGGGACCCTTGGACTTTTTCCCCCTCTCCCGAGAAGAAAAAGTTAATGGGGGCCTTTTAAAACTTCAAGGGAAATGGGCAACACTCTCAGCTTTGTCGACATCGGCAGCTGGGCCCCACGACATTATTTTCGTATCTACAAAAATTTTCATCATCCCGCCCCTTGCAGTCCTATTAAAGCCTTTTCAATCTTTTTTTGGTCACAAGGGGGTTTTCCACAGCTGTTTTGGGAAAACCGCCATTGTTCTCCCTTTTTCCCCAAAAAAGGCACTAGGGAAAATTTAAACCCCCACCCATAACCCATTGGGTTTTTACCAGTGCAGTTTGCAAAGTAATGGAACGCTAGTAAAAAAGACGTTTTTTGTGTGGTATTTAAAAGACACACAAAAAGTCCCTCCACTCTCAATATGGCTTTCCCCTAAAGGGACGTTCTACCCAAAACCCTTTTCTGCGCTTGGATTTCGATGTTCGTAATGCCTTTGCGAATAACCCCCTCAGTTATTGCCAATTTTTTTACCCTTTAGAAGGGATATGACACAACTTGGAGTATAATATTTTAGCCCAAGGGCCCACTCCTTAGGGGCCCTTTGAGGGATCTAAACCCTCCTTCCTTAAGAACTTTTTTTAAATGCCAAAGGGATTTCCGTGTTTGGGGGTTTAAAAATGTGCTCCCCCCCCGGAATTTATCCAAAACGAAGGTGTTCCCCCCGGGGTGGGGGTTCTTTTTAAATCAAAACAAATTTTTTTCCTTGCTATTAATGAAATTTTGGCCCCCGTTTTTTCCATCAAATTTTTGGTCCCTCACTCTATGTTGATGACTTCGCTTTGCCTGGGGCCGGGGCTGACTGTCACCCCCCTTTCCCGTTTCTCTCCAGCATGCAGTCGACCGGTTTCCAATTGGGGGCCCCAAAAGGGTTTTTTTAAAATTTTTCCCGCACTAAAACCCACCCAAAACACTTTCCTAAACCTCTGTCATCTTGATCATCCCTTTTTTTTCCCTATGGCTCACGTAACCCTGAAGTGAAACAGTCAAGTTTCTGGGGCCCCCTCTTTGATCGTTTGGTTATCCCGGAAAAACCCCAATTAAACCCCCTGAAGGCAACTTGTCACAGCCGGCGGAACCTTTTTAAAAAACCCCTTTTCTCTTTCGTGGGGAGTGATCGTCGACCCTCCTTCACCCATTCCACCCTTAATTTTTTCAAAAAATTGATTATGGGGACCAGATCTTTTTAGCGGCATCTCCCGCACTCTCTCTACCTTAACCCCATTCATCACCAAGGATTACGTTTTTTGCCTTGGTGCTTTTTTGCTCTTCCCCTGTCGAAAAACCTCTTGCAGGGAAACGAAAGTTCCCCTCCTTATCCGATCGCCGTGATGCCCCTTTCCCTTTCGCAAATTGTACGCTCTCATGATTCCGCAATCCTTCCATTTATAGAAAAGGTCATGAAATTTGTAGACTTCTTTTTTGTTTCCCGCCGCCCCTGCTTACTCCGTCCCTTCTCTCTTCGCCTTCATTCGCTCTTGTCTTCTCTTCAACTACCACCTTTCTATGTACATGTAGCATCTCACTTTTCCCTACCCCCCTGGGAAGTTCCAGCTGTTCGAGTCTGTTCTTTCTCCCTCCCTTGCTCGAAAGCACAACTGTCTACGGTCGCTTCCCGCTCTCTTTTTCTTGACCACTTTCACTCTCATTCTCATGCCATTGCTGTGTACACAGATGGCTCTAAGTCTTCTGACGGCGTAGGATTCGCAGCAGTGTTTCCGGACAGCGTCGTACAAGGGCATTTACTATCTTCAGCTAGTATTTTTTACTGCTGAATTATATGCCATCCTTACAGCACTTATCCGTATTGCATCTATGCCTGTGTCATCATTTGTGGTTGTCTCAGACTCCCTTAGTGCTTTACAGGCTATAAAAAAATTTGATACACCTCACCCCTTAGTCCTCCGTATCCAACTTTGGCTACGCCGCATCTTTACTAAGCATAAAGATATTGTTTTTTGTTGGGTCCCTGGTCATGTTGACGTACAGGGCAATGAACAGGCAGACACTGCTGCGCGGTCAGCAGTACATGACCTACCAGTTTCTTATAGAGGTATTCCATGTACGGACTATTTTGCTGTAATATCTTCCCACCTTCACACCCGTTGGCAACAACGTTGGTCTACTATGCTCGGCAACAAACTTCAGTCTATTAAACCGAGTATAGGTTACTGGCCGTCTTCTTATCACCAGTGTCGAGGTTGGGAGACTACTCTCTAACCGTCTTCGCATTGGCCATACTCGTCTTACTCATGGATATCTCATGGAGAGGCGTCTTGCTCCTCTCTGTGAGAATTGCCAAGCTCCATTATCAGTCAGCCACATTCTGTTGGACTGCCCACTTTATCAACGAGCACGCAGAATTTACCTCTGTCGTCGTCTTCGCTCCGCTGCTCTCTCTTTACCTTCCCTTCTCGCTGATGGACCCACCTTTCATCCGGACTCTCTCATTGACTTTTTGACAACGACTGACTTACTTCACAAATTCTGATACTTTCAGCCCTTTCTACTTGTATCTCTTGCTACCCTCTACCCCCGTACTATCCCCTGCCCCGCTGTTTTCCGTAACCTGCTGATCATCTCCCCTCCCTTCTGCCATCCAATTCCCTTGCTTCCTTCCCTACCCTGCAGCGCTGTATAGCCCTTGTGGCTTAGCGCTTCTTTTTGATTATAATAATAATAATTTGGCGGTCTGAAACACACTAATCTAATTTATATTATTCCTTATGGGAACAAATTTGCTCGGTAACGGCACTCGAACAACCTTCTGGAATGAATTATGGCCGAAACTCGGGGGCCACTGTATTATTATTAACACATCGGCTGTCTCCCACCAAGGCAGGGTGGCCCAAAAAAGAAAAACATTCATCATCATTCACTCCATCACTGTCTTGCCAGAGGCGTGCCTACACTACAGTTATAAAACTGCAATATTAACACCCTTCCTTCAGAGTGCAGATACTGCACTTCCCATCTCTATTTACCCATGTACAAGTCCCACTCAAATCCTACACCTCTCACTCATATATTTATCCTGCCTAAATTGAAACTACCCAAGGTTTTAGCTTCAGTAACCCTACTAGGCAGACTGTTCCATTTATCAACTACCCTATTTCCAAACCAATACTTTCCTATATCCTTTCTAAATCTAAACTTGTCTAATTTGAATCCAGTACAGTGGACCCCCGCTTTACGATCACCTCCCAATGCGACCAATTATATAAGTGTATTTATGTAAGTGCGTTTGTACGTGTATGTTTGGGGGTCTGAAATGGACTAATATAATTCACAATATTCCTTATGGGAACAAATTCGTTCAGTACTGGCACCTGAACATACAGTGGAACCTCAAAAATCGAACTGCTCCAAACTCGACCAATTATGTAAGTGTATTTTTGTAAGTGCTTTTATAAGTGTATTTTTGAGGGTCTGAAGTGGACTAATCTAATTTACATTATTCCTGATGAGAATAAATTCGTTCGGTAGCGACACTTGACCAGCCTTCTGGACCGAAGAAAGTTCTATATTTGAGGTTCCACTGTACTTCTGGAATGAAATAATATCATAAACAGGGGGTCCACTGTATTGCCAGTGCTCTCTTGGAGGGATATCCTCAAGACCTTTATATCTCCTTTATTAATACCAATCTTCTACTCATACACTTCGATCGTGTTTCCCCTCATTCTTCGTCTTACTAGTGATTGTAATTTAAGGGACTTCAATCTTTCTTCGTATGGAAGATTTCTTGTGCTATGTATTAATTTTGTCATTCTTTGCTGAATGTTTTCTAATGAATTTATATCCATTCTGTAGTATATAGACCAGAACTGAGCTAGTTGACGCCTTACTAATGATGTACCTATAAAACTGTAGTATAACCACTGGACTTGGTGCTTACGGTTGATGTCCGCATCACCTTCAAAATACAGTGGACCCCCGCTTTACGATCAGCTTCCAATGCGACCAATTATGTAAGTGTATTTATGTAAGCGCGTTTGTATGCGTACGTTTGGGGGTCTGAAATGGACTAATCTAATTCACAATATTCCTTATGGGAACAAATTCGGTCAGTACTGGCACCTGAACATACTTCTGGAATGAAATAATATCGTAAACCGGGCGGTCCACTGTATATAAAGCGAAGCTTGGGGCTTTCCTTTGTACCTAACAATATTTTGTAAAGCATTGACTACTTTACCTGTATACTGCAGAAAAGAAATTATTATTATTATTATGAAAGCGAGGTACGCCTGTAAGTTGCGGAGTTTCAGGAAAATTTTGAACTTTTCAGGAAAAGCTTGGATGGTTCGGAGGTGGAGGAGGAGCCCTGGATGTCTGTTATGGAGGAGATACAGCAAGAACTGGTCAATCAAGGTACACATTATTATTATTATTATTATTATTATTATTATTGCTGCTGCTTCTGGCATTTAAGTTATCTTTCATGACACACACGGCTTATTTTTCCACTTAACACGGAGAAATTATTATTACTAATTATTATTACAATTGTTATTATGTACAATTATTCATAGTTCAGTTGTAAAATAGGGTTTGAGTTTTAGGGGCTTGAGCATCCAGCAGGCTTGTGTAGATGTTAGAAGTTAGTGGTGACAAGTAATGGATATGCTGTTGGAGTGAGAGCGAAGTGACATTTACAGAGGGATTCAGGGGAAACCAGTCAGCCAGACTCGACTCCTGGATCACACCTAAATTATCCACCACAATTACTTTTACCAGTCATCCACTACCCATTGTCAGTCATCCCCATTAACCAACCAGTCTTAATGACCCCCGTATAGTAGATAGACTTTAAACCCCATTAACCAACCAACCAGTCTTAATGACCCTGGTGTAGTAGATAGACTTTAAACCCCATTAACCAACCAACCAGTCTTAATGACCCTTGTGTAGTAGATAGACTTTAAACCCCATTAACCAACCAACCAGTCTTAATGACCCTGGTGTAGCAGATAGACTTTAAACCCCATTAACCAACCAACCAGTCTTAATGACCCTGGTGTAGTAGATAGACTTTAAACCCCATTAACCAACCAACCAGTCTTAATGACCCCCGTATAGTAGATAGACTTTAAACCCCATTAACCAACCAACCAGTCTTAATGACCCTGGTGTAGTAGATAGACTTTAAACCCCATTAACTAACCAACCAGTCTTAATGACCCTCGTGTAGTAGATAGACTTTAAACCCCATTAACCAACCAACCAGTCTTAATGACCCTGGTGTAGTAGATAGACTTTTCAATTTGTAGTAGAGATGGAATTTCAATTTGTTTTTATATGAAATCTTTCATATTTTAGAGGAACGACTACTGGTAGACATTATGAAGTATGACGCCGCGGCCCTGGCGAATCAAGTGACCTTACAGCAGTCTGAGGAGGTCATTTGTCCTGTGTGTCAGGTAAGGCCGTGCAAGTATATTTGTAACTTTCAGTCAATAAAGATACCCAGTGTGACTTAATCTTCAGCTTGTCTGTATTTTATATCCTCTACGACAGTAATGGTAAGCGTAGCTCGGAGATAACGTATTAGGTGGGTTAATGTTAACCAGGTTTGATGGTACAGTAAACTGTGGATAAAGTGGGTTAATGTTAACTAGGTTTGATGGTACAGTAAACTGTGGATAAGGTGGGTTAATGTTAACCAGGTTAGATGGTACAGTAAACTGTGGATAAGGTGGGTTAATGTTAACTAGGTTTGATGGTACAGTAAACTGTGGATAAGGTGGGTTAATGTTAACTAGGTTTGATGGTACAGTAAACTTCGGATAAAGTGGGTTAATGTTAACCAGGTTAGATGGTACAGTAAACTGTGGATAAGGTGGGTTAATGTTAACTAGGTTTGATGGTACAGTAAACTTTAGATAAGGTGGGTTAATGTTAACTAGGTTTGATGGTACAATAAACTTTGGATAAGGTGGGTTAATGTTAATGAGGTTTGATGGTACAATAAACTTTGGATAAGGTGGGTTAATGCTAACCATCTAAGATGGTACAGTAAACTTTGATACAGTGCACTCCTCAATTAAGAGAATATACACTGTGTAAATTGTACTTTTAACTGGTGGCCTGGTGGTTAACGCTCTCGCTTCACACGGTGAGGGCCTGGGTTCGATTCCCAGCCAGAGTAGAAACATTGGACGTGTTTCTTTCCACCTGTTGTCTATGTTCCCCATCAGTAAAATGGGTACCTGGGTGTTAGTCGACTGGTGTGGGTCGCATCCTGGGACACTGACCTAAGGAGGCCTGGTCACAGACCGGGCCGCGGGGGCGTTGACCCCCGGAACTCTCTCCAGGTAATCTCCAGGTAATATGTATCTTCAATGTTTCTTGTAATATATCTTCAAATTCTATTTTATTTTCACCACAGACGCCGTATTGGTACGTTGCAGTTTTTTAACAAAAGCGCAGGCACGCCTTTGCAAGACAGTGATGGAGTGAATGATGATGATGTTTCTCCTTTTTCGGGTCACCGTGCCTTGGTGGGGAAGCGGCCAATGCATTAATAAAAATTACTGGCTGTCTCCCACCAAGGCAGGGTGATCCAAAAAAGTAGAAAGCCTTATAGCTTTTTCTTTAGTAATGTATACAGATGTTACTAGCCTCTTGTTCCCGGCATGTAGTCGCCTCTTACAACACGCCTGCCTTACAGAGGAAGAATTCTGTTCTACTTCCCCATGGAGATAATGTGTATACAGTGAGACCTTGATATTTGAACTTAATCGGTTCCCAGGTGGTGTTGGAACTGCGAAAAGTTCTATGTCTGAAACATTATATACAGTGGACCCCCGGTTAACGATATTTTTTCACTCCAGAAGTATGTTCAGGTGCCAGTACTGACCGAATTTGTTCCCATAAGGAATATTGTGAAGTAGATTAGTCCATTTCAGACCCCCAAACATACACGTACAAACGCACTTACATAAATACACTTACATAATTGGTCGCATTCGGAGGTGATCGTTATGCGGGGGTCCACTGTACCAGGCTTTAATTATCATCCTCACACACTGGACGATGTTGAACTGACTCTTCCAAATGTGTCTGAGATTTAGGTCAGTGTCTGAGGTCACTTCAAAGCACTTTCGAAGCAGGGCTTTCCTGTAAAGTTTTTTACGGCTTAGATTGTAAACAAGTTAGCGTACTCACACTCCAGAAGAACGTTCAAAGCCCGGCTCAGGTTTTTCTGAACGAAGTTGTTTGGGCTAGTTCGTTTGAGGTCCGGTTCGTTTGAAGTTTGGTTTGCTTGAGGTCTGGCTTGTTCAAAGTCTGGTTCATTCGAGGTCCAGTTCGTTTGAAGACCGAGGTTCCAGTGTGTTTTATTTTGGATATAAATTCCCCATTATTTAGTGTTATAGGAAATACTTTATACTTAAAACACCACTCCCTTGTTTTAAATGTTTTAATGTTATAATTAATGTTTTCATAAAACACCGGCCCCTTGTTTTTAATAATTTACTGTAAATGTAAATGCGAGGGTCTTGGCAAGAGGCGTGGAGTTAAAAGATAAAGAATCACACACAAAGTGGGAGTTGTCACAGCTGCTCTTTGCTGATGACACTGTGCTCTTGGGAGATTCTGAAGAGAAGTTGCAGAGATTGGTGGATGAATTTGGTAGGGTGTGCAAAAGAAGAAAATTAAAGGTGAATACAGGAAAGAGTAAGGTTATGAGGATAACAAAAAGATTAGGTGATGAAAGATTGAATATCAGATTGGAGGGAGAGAGTATGGAGGAGGTGAACGTATTCAGATATTTGGGAGTGGACGTGTCAGCGGATGGGTCTATGAAAGATGAGGTGAATCATAGAATTGATGAGGGAAAAAGAGTGAGTGGTGCACTTAGGAGTCTGTGGAGACAAAGAACTTTGTCCTTGGAGGCAAAGAGGGGAATGTATGAGAGTATAGTTTTACCAACGCTCTTATATGGGTGTGAAGCGTGGGTGATGAATGTTGCAGCGAGGAGAAGGCTGGAGGCAGTGGAGATGTCATGTCTGAGGGCAATGTGTGGTGTGAATATAATGCAGAGAATTCGTAGTTTGGAAGTTAGGAGGAGGTGCGGGATTACCAAAACTGTTGTCCAGAGGGCTGAGGAAGGGTTGTTGAGGTGGTTCGGACATGTAGAGAGAATGGAGCGAAACAGAATGACTTCAAGAGTGTATCAGTCTGTAGTGGAAGGAAGGCGGGGTAGGGGTCGGCCTAGAAGGGTTGGAGGGAGGGGGTAAAGGAGGTTTTGTGTGCGAGGGGCTTGGACTTCCAGCAGGCATGCGTGAGCGTGTTTGATAGGAGTGAATGGAGACAAATGGTTTTTAATACTTGACGTGCTGTTGGAGTGTGAGCAAAGTAACATTTATGAAGGGATTCAGGGAAACCGGCAGGCCGGACTTGAGTCCTGGAGATGGGAAGTACAGTGCCTGCACTCTGAAGGAGGGGTGTTAATGTTGCAGTTTAAAAACTGTAGTGTAAAGCACCCTTCTGGCAAGACAGTGATGGAGTGAATGATGGTGAAAGTTTTTCTTTTTCGGGCCACCCTGCCTTGGTGGGAATCGGCCGGTGTGATAATAATAAAAATAAAAAATATAGGGAACACGAACATGGACTGATTAAATAACAAAAAGGCACAATACTGTGACTGGAACGATACACAAATAACCCGCACATAAAAGAGAGAAGCTTACGACGACGTTTCGGTCCGACTTGGACCATTGACAAAGTCACACTGACTTTGTCAATGGTCCAAGTCGGACCGAAACGTCGTCGTAAGCTTCTCTCTTTTATGTGCGGGTTATTTGTGTATGGACTGATTGCATTGTCTTCACATCTCTACTGTTCCTGCCTATTTTCTGTACTTGACTGAAGAAGCCTACTGTATAGGCGAAACATTTCGGAATAAAGTTGCTTAACTGTTGCCTATGTGTCTTGCCTACCAACCTGTCGGTATTGTGTACCATTTTGATATTCACCCTGTCAGACACTGCAACACAATGGCATCTTGGTACAGAAGAGAAAACACCTTGGACAACTTTTTCAAGTGAGAAATGTTTGATCTGAGAGGGACGTGACCTCTCAGTGGCTGCATTCTCACTGCTACTACTCTGCACCTCTCCTTCCCACAGTATTTAAGTCTCCACACTCACTTGATCTTCAGATAGTTCCGGACTATGGAACTGAACTTCTCCAGGCTGAGGGACTGACAACCTCAAATCTACAACTTCAAGGGTGATGGACTGATTACATCGTCTTCACATCTCTAGTGTTCCTGCCTATTTTCTGTATTCGACTGAAGAAGCCTACTGTGTAGGCGAAACGTTTCGGAATAAAGTTTCCTAACTGTTGCCTATGTGTCTTACCTACCAACATTTAACATAAAACACCGCCCTCCTTCTTTAATACATCAATAAAATATGGTAAGATTACCTCTTGTAGTTTGTCTTAATAGTCTTTAGTTAATTTGTATTGAAGTTAAGTTGGTTTGCAGAGGCACGGATTGCAGGAATCACAGAGACGACCAAGCGGAGCTTCTATCACAACCATTGGTAGCGAGTCCGGTGCTAACGTTCTGGTCTGTGGATGCGGCTTGGCTCTACAAGGTGCTAATCTATCTCTCAATACAGTAAGTACATTTTGGGCATTGCTAACTAAATCTCCAAAAAGAATCTTTGGATACTCTCTGTACCATAAGTCTTATTTTGGTTGTGACCTGGAGTTTACCTGGAGTACCTGGAGTATACCTGGAGAGGGTTTCGTGAGTCAACACCCCCACGGCCCAGTCTGTGACCAGGCCTACAATCTCCGAAGAAAGTCTTTGGCTGAACTCTCAATACCGTAAATCTGTTTTGGTCATGACAAATACGATTTCTGAAAGCAAAATCTTGGCTAATCTCTCTCTCAATATAGTAAGTTTTATTTTGGTTGTGACAACTACAATCTCTAAAGAAAATCTTGGTGTGAGATGCAAAAGTCGTTTGCCACCAAACAGAGATTTTAACCCTTAAATGGTCCAAACGTATATACAGTGGACCCCCGGTTAACGATATTTTTTCATTCCAGAAGTATGTTCAGGTGCCAGTACTGACCGAATTTGTTCCCATAAGGAATATTGTGAAGTAGATTAGTCCATTTCAGACCCCCAAACATACACGTACAAACGCACTTACATAAATACACTTACATAATTGGTCGCATTCGGAGGTGATCGTTATGCGGGGGTCCACTGTATACGTTTTTTCAACATCTGAAAGTATGAAAAAAATGTAGATCATCTTTTTTGTTTTACATTTGAAAATATATTAAAAAAAGTAGATCTACTTTTGTAGCTACGAATTTGAACGTCGATTTGTTTGGACCGTTTAAGGGTTAAAAAGTAACGACGGCAGATAAGGATGTTTTGTAATTCCTCTACTTACAGACACGTTGAGAATATTCTGTATTGTGCATACTATCATTGTTGTCTATAATATCATTATTTGACGATCTGTTGGAGTGTGAGCAGGGTAATATTTAGTGAAGGGATTCAGGGAAACCGGTTATTTTCATATAGTCGGACTTGAGTCCTGGAAATGGGAAGTACAATGCCTGCACTTTAAAGGAGGGGTTTGGGATATTGGCAGTTTGGAGGGATATGTTGTGTATCTCTATACGTATATGCTTCTAAACTGTTGTATTCTGAGCACCTCTGCAAAAGCAGTGATTATGTGTGAGTGTGGTGAAAGTGTTGAATGATGATGAAAGTATTTTCTTTTTGGGGATTTTCTTTCTTTTTTGGGTCACCCTGCCTCGGTGGGAGACGACCGACTTGTTGAAAAAAAAAAAAAAAAAAAAAAATCATTATTATACACAGTTGTGGAGGTCCCCAACATGTTTGTAAGTTGAAGATTTCCTGCATCCTGACTGCTGATTTACATTGCTTGCATTTGTCTTTACAGGTAAAATCGAGCCTAGAGAACACAATATCACACCACGGGCAGACGTGCGAGGGACAGATGTCCTTCACCGAGACCACTGACACGCAAGGCGCCAATGTGCTCATCACTTGCAGCATCTGTGACTGGATGTCCTTCCTCTTGTAGGAGCCGGCCCAGCAGTCAAAAGTCGTGTCGGAAGTAGCCCGGCGCGCCGGTGTTTCTCGAATGGGGGGCCACAACTCCCAGTCTTCAATGACTGGTGAACGATTTGCCTGCTGGCCACTATCAACAACAGCCTGGTTGACCAGGTAGCCTGGGCTGGGAGAAATACTGTCATAGACCATTAAGACACTGAAGATGGCTGTGATTACACTGATTAATCTCATTTACACGTAAAATAATAAATGTGCAGTAACTCCTCGACTTACAAACACATTTTTGACCTCCTGAACTGTGTATAATATCATTATTTTGTATACCATTATTCACAATACAGAAGGTCTCCAATGCATTGAAGACTTCCCATATTATGGACATTATACACAATACACAAGATTCTCAAACCATACCACGGGTGGGGTTAGAACCCGCGATCAGAGAGTCTCAAAACTCCAGACCGACGCGTTAGCCACTGGACCAGTTGCTAACGAGTTGGTCTGGAGTTTTGAGGCTCTCTGATCGCGGGTTCTAACCCCACCCATCGTATGGTTTGTTTGCATTCGTGTCATTACGATTTCGTGAGTCAAGATTCTCAATGTGTTCGAGAATCGAGGAATTCCTGTACAATATGCTCGGACGTTTCCACTAACTAGGATATTTTTTAGCGTTAGTAATCAATAAAAAAATAAATTTTGTATTCAAGTGAATGAGGAGTGCGTGCCAAAGCATTTTAATTTTATGTACGGTAGTGTGAGTCTATTAAAAATTTGCATAATGCAGAGTTTTGTAAGTTCTCTTTTGAAAAGTTAAATACAGTCAGCTCTCTTTAACAGTTCCCTTATACAGTGTGACTTGTTTAGTAAGTGCAGTGGTAACTTAATGGTCCAGGATGGACCAATCTGAAGCTATGTGACAATAATGGTCTGGGATGGACCATTACCAAGCCATGGTGACAATAATGGTCCAGGATGGACCATTATCAAGCCATGGTGACAATAATGGTCCAGGATGGACCATTACCAAGCCATGGTGACAATAATGGTCCAGGATGGACCATTATCAAGCCATGGTAACTTCACTGTGGTTCATAAAGTCGCCTCAAAGTTGTTGGTTAGAGAAGAATTGTAGCCACAATATTGTGACTTATTCTTACAACATGTAGTTGAGTCAGTGCTCTTATAAAGCTTTTCTATACACAAATAACCCACACATAGGAGAGAGGAGCTTACCATGATGTTTTGGTCTGACTCGGACCATTTACAAATGGTCGAGGTGGGTCCGAAATGTCTTAAGCTCCTCTCTCCTATGTGCTGGTTATTTGGTTATTTGTGTGTTGTTTCGGTCACCCTATTGTGACTTTTTGTTCTTTAAGCTTTTCTGTATATTGTAGTGCAATTTTTTTGCCAGTGTGATTGAAAGAATCCGCCCAGAATTGTATAGCACGTTCCCTGAAGGCCTTTCCACTGGCTGTTCAGTTTTGGATGTGCTATTTCAGTCGCATTTGTGAGAAATTGCAACGTAAGGACACAGAAACGTAGCACTGCAGTAGGCCTACTGCTCCACAACAACAGAGCATTGCAGTAGGCCTACTGGCCCATACTAGGCAGGTCCTTCTCCAAACCAACCATTACCATCCACCTATTTAACCTTGACCCAAACCCTGAAGAACTTTATAAGAGCTGACTGTGTCTTGTGTTGAGGGTAACTTTTGTTTGAAGATGGAAAAATAGACACAAAAGGAGTACAATGCGATATTTTATTCAGTGCGTTCCACTCTCAAGCCACTATGTGGGTGAAATGTAGTCAAAGGATGTCATACAGTAGGACCCCGTATCCGCGGACCTGGTTTCCATGGTTTCAGTTATCTGTGATTTACCGTGGCCCAAAAAATAACTCTAAATTTTGCTTAATAACGACCTCAAAGCGCAAAAGTAGTGACGGTGGGAGTTGTTCAAAGAGAAAGTGTGAAGTGCTTCCCATCAGTGAGAAAGTGTTAATTCTCTAGTCATTGTGCTAATTTATCAAACTTTAAAATAGGTATGTAAGTCAATGAAAATTGTGATGAATGGTTTGAAAAACTGACATGTTGAAGATTGAGACACTTATGCAGCATATGGGAATCTTTATTCAGGAAACGTTTCGCCACGCAGTGGCGAATCGTTTCCTGAATAAAGATTCCCATATGCTGCATAAGTGTCTCAATCTTCAAGTCAATGAAAAACAACTTACATGTGGGATTCGCTACCACCCGCAATTTCGGTACCCACGGCAGGTCTTTGTAATGTATTCCCTGCAGATACGGGGGTCCTACTGTACCGCATTTGTTTTCACCTTTCCATCGTGTTGGTATTTAAAAGACAATTTACAGGAATTGTTGTTTTGTAGAGAATTACGCTCTTAATCGTGTATACTTTAACTGTAATGGATAAATTCATGTTCTTTAGAGATTCCAATCTTACAAGAGGTTTGTCTCATTTGTTTTACGTAAATAATTTGTGTTCCTAATGTTTTGACTTAGAAATGTGTTATATTCTCAGTGTTTCAATTTATAGATTTGTTGTTTGTGGTCCTGAACCTGTTATCCATTCAATACAAAGTCCGGTTAACTGGACTTGAGTCCTAGAGGTGGGAAGTACAGTGCCTGCACTCTAAAGGAAGGGTTTGGGATATTTGCTGTTTAGTGAGATTATTTAGGGGTCAGTGCCCCCACGGCCCGGTCTGAGACCAGGCCACGTGGTGGATCAGGGCCTGGTCATCCAGGCTGTTACTGCTGGCCGCACACAAGCCGACATACAAACCACAGCCTGGCTAGTCAGGTGCTGACCTTAGGTGAAAGTTTCTTTTTCGGGTTGCCGTGCCTTGATGGCAGACGGCCAGCGTGTAAAAAAAGTAAGGATAATTCCATCATGTATGTTTGTAACTACGGATCGGTTTAAAAAAAAACACGTAAACAAACACTAGGATATATTTATTAGAAAATGTCTCAGTTCTGGGACCTTAATTGTTACTAACACAGATTTAATAGAAAAAATTTTGGTCTGTGGACTTTGATCATTTCTAATGTACAAAGGTTAAAATGGCCAGTATACAGGAGGGCAGTGCATACACACCACTATTTTTCAGTGTTCCACGTTTTCATTGGCTTTCAGTCGAGTCGTTCCATCCGCCAGTGTCACTGGCAGATGGAACAAATGAACGTGGCTCAGTTCAAAGCCAACGAAAACGTGGAACACCAAAAATAGGCACTGTATATGCAGGGCCCTCCAGAGTGAGGTTGTGATGCACGGTGACCTGAAGAATGACATATTGGGATGAGGTCAGGTAGACAGTGGGATCACGTGACTCTTGTGTTGTTACGTAGGTGGTGCTTTGCCTGGTTGACTATTATACATGCTAATGTTTTTGAAATTTTGCAATTTCTAGTACAGGCACTTCTCGACTTATGATATTTTGACTTTACGATGATGCAGAAGCAATTGTTTGGGCGATGAAACTTAATTACCCAGCATGAAGGTGGCTGTCCCTAACTTGTATTCATTTGTGATGAATGGTTTGAAAAACCGACAAGTTGAAGATTGAGACACTTATGCAGCATATGGGAATCTTTATTCAGGAAACGTTTCGCCACACAGTGGCTTCATCAGTCCAATACAAAGAGGAAGGCGTAAGGAGAGGAGGAGAATGAGGTAATCAGTCCCTCAACCTGGAGTCGATGTGTTCAGTCCATCAATCTTGTAGAATGTACAGCATAGGGCCGAAGATGCGGCTTATATACTGTAGTGAGTGACTGAACAGATGAGGCGGTCTAGTGGTACTCACTACCTCACTACAGATATAACCACGTCTCGACCTATGCTGTACATTCTACAAGATTGATGGACTGAACACATCGACTCCAGGTTGAGGGACTGATTACCTCACACTCCTCCTCTCCTTACGCCTTCCTCTTTGTATTGGACTGATGAAGCCACTGTGTGGCGAAACGTTTCCTGAATAAAGATTCCCATATGCTGCATAAGTGTCTCAATCTTCAACTTGTATTCATTTATTGACATTTCAGTATTCGTATTTAATTACAGTAATTATTTATTTACTATTCGGTGACAATAGTTATTTAATAGTGACAATAGTTATTTATTTATTTAGCATAACACATTCATATTCGACCTAGGATAATTTCAACTTACGATGGGTTTGTCGGAACGTAAACCCATTGTAAGTTGAGGACTCCTGCATTATGGTCTGTGGTGTCGGTGATGGATCAACATTCATAAAATGATTTTGTGTGTACAGTAGAACTCCCCCTTATCTGCAGGTCCAGTTCCCATGGCTTCAGTTATCCATGATTTACTGTGGCTGGAAAATAACCCATAATTTTGCTTAGTAATGGCCTCAAAGTGCAAAAACAGTCATGGTGGTTGTTCTTCTAAGCCTAAGAGAAGCTGTGAAATGCTTCACTTATTGTGCTCCATTTATTGTGCCTAATTTATCAATTAAACTTTATTATAGGTATGTACGTAATCGAAAACAACATGCAGTGGAACCTCGGTACTGAAACAGCTTCATACTCGAACAATTCGGTATTCAAATGCTTTGTTCAGCAAACGAATCGCTTGGTAGTCGACCGTTTGCATGGCACTCGACCAAACAAACACAACCTGCCAGAACTTCACTGTAAACTATTTTGTGTTTCTTCGCATTTTGTGGTGTTTTTATATTGTATAAATAAGTCACCATGGGGTCTAAGAGTGTTAATGATAACAGCCAACCAAAAAGAAAACTGATTGGAAAAAATTCATTTGGTACTCGAACAGCCTTCTGGAACAAATTAAGTTTGAGTGCCGAGGTTCCACTCTGTCTGTGGCAGGTCCTTGGAACGTATCTCCCATGGATACGGGGGTCCTACTGTATTTTGTACCTTGTTTGTAAGTACTGTATAGATCGTTGTAACTCTGGTGTTCGAGAATCAGAGGTACCTTGGAACTATCAAGAATTATTTAGTTATTTAGTTTTGTGTGTATTTAACTTGTTTGTTAATTGAAGAAATGAGACACTTGGGCAGAATTTGGGAATCTTCACTGTGGAAATGTTTCCCGGCCATTGGCTTCTTCAGTCCAATACTTAGAATGGTGGAAGATGAGGAGGAGTTTGAAGTAATCAGTCCCTCAGCCTGGAGTCGATGTTTCTGGTCCATCAGTCTTCACGCATACGTGGTACTTTTCTCAAGCTAGATGGACCGAGCGCATCAACTCCAGGCTGAGGGACTGATTACCTCAGACTCCTCATCCTCCACCGTTCTTCTCCTTATTGGACTTAAGAAGCCACTGGCTGGTGAAACGTAGCCCTAATAAGGATTCCCAAATGTTGCCCAAGTCTCTCAGTCTTCAACTTGTCAGGTTTTCCAAAATATTCACGTTAATTCATTCTTGTTTAAAAAAGAAACAATTTCAGATAGGAACTTTACTGAGATATTTTGGACAGCCTTCATCAGGCAGCCAGTGTGCTCAGATGGGAGCACTGCAGAAGTATGAAGTAGGTAAGGTAAGGGAAGTGGGTTAGAATCCTTCCTACGTAAGTCATGCTTGTTGTAAGAAGAGACCAAAATGCTGGGAGAAAAGTGCTAGTAACACCCCCTGTATAAATTACTAAATGCTGGCAACAAGGGGCTAGTAACACCTATATAAATCAGTTAGTGTAAAGAG